TTTTCTTTCTCAGGTCATCCAAAGAAGGGCGCTTGGCTGACTGTCCCACCTGAGACTTTTCCGAAGATTTTTTCAAACACTTTGTTGGAGACTTAGAAGAAGAGCTAGTGGGTAAGGAGGGTAAAGATGGAGCCATATTCTGTGCAGGGGGGAGGGTGGGAGTAAGAGATGGGTGCTGCTCCATAGTTGGCACTGTAGGGTAGAGGGGCTTATTCCAGAGAAAAGCTTTGAGCCTCTGTCCTCTAGACTTTAAGGTTGGTTTAGAGAGCTTTTTACAATGAGAGCAGGTGTCGGGCTGATGTTCCTCCCCCAGACAACAGAGACAGCGATCCTGCCTGTCAGCAAAGGGAACTTTAGCTTTGCAAGAAGTACACCTCTTAAAAAGACCAGAAGAGGCCATAAAACAGTTTTTATCCAACTTCAAAACAGTAATCAGAACAATACTGTTGACCAGTCCAGGATCAAAGCCAGAAGAGCAAGTCCATTATAGGGGGGGGGGGACTCAGGGAAAAAGGCAGGAAACCGAAAGGCAGCCCGTGTCAGTCCAAAGAGCAACGTACAAGAATCATTAACCAGAAGCGAAGCCAAAGTCAGGGAACAGAGATAAATCAACAGCAATTAAGCGGAGAGAAAAGCCGAAGTCAAACAGTCCAAGGTCTGGTCAAACGGAAGCCAAAAATCAAGTGAAATAGAGAGCTCTAGAGACAAGGTTCCAAACACGACAGTGGCAAAAAGGCACTGAGGCTCTGGGTGGCTGGAGCACGCGCAATAGAAGCAATGTACAACATTGTTGCTTTTGTCTTAGCTCTAGAATATTCCAAGTATCCAGCACAAGCACACTTTATACCCATTTGTGTGCATTCACAGAGGCCACGTAGAAGAATATACACTTACACTAATGGGTATTCATTTTTTTCTAATACTTTAAGCTTCACAGACTTAAAAAGATGAGAGAAAAGTAAAATCCATTTGCAATGTTCTAGTAGTAAACTTGGAAATGTGGGTGCTTGTCATAATAGCTATAATAGCCACTCACCCATACAGAGAGAGTCCAAAGATGAGGCAGCAGGACTGGCTGGTATAATCAAAAAGCAGATAGTTTGTTAAATGGCCTGCCCATTCAAGACCAAACTACTCTTTTGGACTTTGCATGACACTAAGGATAGTCTTCCACAATATACTTTTGCTGGAAAAAAAATAAATTTCTCTCCTGATTACTGTGAGGATTGCAACTAAGCCCAACAGGAACAGGAAAGCTCAGGCAGGTGGGTAATGATGCTGTAGTCCCTAATACTCAAAAAGTACTAGGACTTCAATGTTTCAAGCCCTGGTTCCTCTTCATCATCATCCACTTGAGACCAAAATGCAATAATATGAAATGTTGTTTTTAACATGTGTACATCACTAGCAACTGACAACATTTGCCTTCAAATTGCAGCCACCTTGCCTGTCCCTCTATTGGCGTTCCACAAGTCTACTTTGGCATTTAGAACACCCCTCTTCTCACAGTCATATATAGGCCTGAGACAGCCCTACCCATAATCCATCAGCAGCCCTGTGAACCAAAACACCTGCCACAGCTTAATCACACAGCTTTCTCGCTAATAAGATACAATTAATCAGAAAGTGTCAATGTTTCAGAGTGCTTTACTAAAGCTTTCAGACACTACAGAACACACCTTATTAACTGATTAATGCACAACTCTGAAGAGCTGTGAGGTGAGGTGACCTCATGTGTTCCCCTCATTAAGAAACACTTCAGAGGGTCTTCATATTATTCTGAAAACTCTGCTGTGAACTTCACTCTCATTTTGTTGCTGTTTTAGAATAAGAGAATAATGAAGTTAGAAATGTCCTATAAGGCCATCAATTCTAACCCCCAGCTCAACGCAGAGGTTTTTCTTTTTTTCAGACTGCTAAGTAATTTCCCTATCCGGCTAATGCCTTCCAACTAGGGGCACCAACCTACTACCTTTTTGTTTTTATTATCAACTTAAAATTAAGCTTCAGGTTAGATACCATTAGGGACGTGGTGACGCTGCAGGTTAAACTGCAAAAGCCTCTGTGGTGTAAGATCAGAAGACCAGCAGTCGTAGGATCGAATCCAGGCGACAGAGGTCCTGCCAACCTAAAGTTCGAAAGCATGTAAAAATGTGAGTAGATAAATAGGTACCACCATAGTGGGAAGGTAACAGTGTTCCGTGTCTACATGTGCTCCCCACGTGATCATGGAAACTGTCTTCAGACAAATGCTCGCTCTACAGCTTGGAAACGGGGATGAGCACCATGCCCTAGAGTAGGACAAGACTGGACTAAAAGTCAAGAGGAACTGTGGCATTTGCCCTTGTACCCCTGCCTGACCCTCCACACACAGAGCACATGAAGGCAGACTACTACTCCTTTTTACCCCGCTGCCACCAGTTGATCACTAAATCAAAATTAATTATGGAAGGATGAAGATGCAGGTCCAAACTTCACTGTCTTTTAAATAAAATGTTTTTATTGATTACAGATGTTATTATTAATCATAGGTAACTTCTATTATCATCAATCTCAACCTTCTATTTGTTATTACAGTTTTTATTCACTTTTCACTCTAATCACACCTTAGATCTCCCAAATACCACACTCTATCTCCTTCTTCACTCTCTCTCACTGGCTCTGACTCTCTCTCTGACTCTCACTGACCACTTTCACTCTCTGACTCCGCCTCTTTTACATATCTCGGCTCCGCCTCTCAGCAACATTAGCCTAAAACATGAATATTCATAACTACTTAACATAATAAGGGTGAATGCTACAGGAACTTTTACCTTTACTTAGATACCATTACCTACATAAAGAAATTCACAACTGATTATGGGGAACGGATCAGTCAACCATATTGATTTGCAATATAAACATATTTTAAATTGTCTTGCTTAATTAATATGTTTGGAGCAAAAACAATACAGTGGAACCTCTACTTCTGCTGCTCTAAGGCTGCTTCTTTGTAGCTCTTTCGCCTCAATGGTTAGGAAAAAGGAGGCTCAGCCTCCCGGTCTTCCAGCGCTGCTGCTACTGCCACTGGGAGGCAAGCCACCAGACCATCCCAGCTGGGTTCAGCCTCCTGGGCTTCCAGCGCTGCCGCCGCAGGCTTTCCCGGGGTTCACCTGGCAGCGGATAGCAGCGGAGAAAGGTGGCGATTGGGGCAAGCCCCAGGAAAGCCTCCCATGGTGGCGGAGAAGCCACACAGCGGGAGAGAAGGGCGGCACTTGTGGCGAACCCCGGGAAAGCTGCCGGCGGTGGCAGAGAAACCGTGGCCCGGCAGCAATGGCTGGAGCCTGGGCCTCCTGGCAGCAGCCATCGCAGCAGTGAGGTGCTGCTTTTTAAAAACTATTTTGGGTGGCTTTTGCAGGGTGGGATTGGGCTGGTGGGGTTATGTTTGTTTTTTATTTGTTTTGTTTTTGCAGCCCCAGGGGCTTGCAGCTTCTTTTTTATTTTTAGTATTTATTTCCTTCAGCTGGAATCGATTAATCGGTTTTCAATGCATTCCTATGGGAAATGGTGCTTCTACTTATGAACATTTCAACTTACGGCCACCGTTCCGGAACAGATTAAGTTCGTAAGTAGAGGTACCACTGTATTATATACTGTATGTACTATAGATCTTTGATCTTTGCTAATGATATTTTCCCATTCAGCAGATATCCTATTTCAAGTACGTCCACAAATGTCCAATGTTCCAAATTTTCCTAAAAATGAATGCCACAGGCTCAATTCTAAGGCTCATATGAGACATTATCTGTCACAGTCTTAAAAAGCATTTTGTCTGATTCTGTCTGTTTTATCTTCCATTGTGAGACAACACATAGTCTGGGACAGAGCTTTGAGCCTTTTCTTTTTCTTCTTTCTTTTTGCCCTACAGTTAGAATCTTAGAACTGCAGAGCTGGAATGGACTTTATGGATTGAATGCAAACCTTTTCAAGGAGGCACAATGGGGAATCGAACTTCCAACCAGATGCCGAAACCACTGAGCTATCCAGCAGTTAACAGAGTCCAAGAGCCAGCATGGCCATATATGCTAGAGAGAGAGTCTAGGAGTGTTACTCCAATAAGGTAGTATTTCAAGGCTCTGATTCAGGTGCACAACTCCAATACAAAGTAGATTATGTCAATAAAAAGCAAGCAATCATTTTGATGAAAGAAATAGCATACACATTTGGCAGTTCATATTGCTAAAAGCAATGTATAGTATCTACATTTGCACACTCATCTGAATGTATCTCTTATTTGTGTGCTTCCTACATGTGTAAAGGACTTGATTTCCCAACCTCACTTTGACATGACACAGTATTTAAATAATACCCAAGTAAACAGGAAGTTTGTTCTTTGTCTTGTTTTAAAATCTCAATGGCCCAAAGAATTATAGCACAACAACGGCACCGGAAAAAAAGTTGGTAGATAATTTTTCATTTTTTACTTTTTCCAATATTTTTTCCATGATGAGATTCTAGGAACCAACCAAATCAAAAACTGGCCGGCTTTAGTTGGAGGTAGCACCATTTGCCTTCAGACTACTGGATCCATGACTTGAAATGAATTTATTTATTTTCTTAGCAATAAAATTATTTACTAGTGATCTTTCAGTCTCTGAGCTGACTTGCGATTCTAAAAGTTGCAGGAAAAATCCAGAAGACAAGTCTTCTAAAGCAGTTTGTACAGACATATTTTTACAGGATTTGGTAATAAGCATCATTCATGAATAAAAGTGTAATACTCTAGCCACCATCCTCTTGCTAATTCCATTGAATCACTTGCTGAAAAAAGCACAATTTATGTAAATCCTCTTGAGTCAATGGGTTTACTCTAGTTGCGATTAGCAATAGGATATTCAGAATACTCCATCGCACTAATGGGGCAGTATATAAATGTATTAAACAAACAAACAAACAAATAATACTCTCAAGTAAGCATATATTAGATTGCAACATAGACTGTATTGTTTAACATCACCTACCACATTTTCTCATCTTCCGCTGTGATTCGCAGGATTACTGTTGGAGCTGGGAAGAATCTGCAATAATTAATACTGCACTTGAAGGTATTGTTACAGATTACCTGACTAGCCAAACAGCCTGGTCAAAGGTGTAAAGTCACCAAGTTACAACCAACATCCATGCCCTCTTTTTCCTTTTGCTCCTTTGATGGTTGCAGTAGTAGCACCTCAGGTCTACAGTTGCTATAGAAACATTCTCTTGGCTGGTTTAATTTCTGCTTCACTTTTTGCCTACCACTCACCTACGTCTCTATGCTTATACGTAAAGTGACAAAGGGGAGTGTGTGGGCTGACTAATGTATCTTCTTAAGCAAAGTTCAAAGCAGTTTTGCAGGCTGCCAAATGTCAAAAAGTGAAGCAGCAAAGTTGGGGTGGGAATGGAAGTGGGGGTAGGTGGGGAAAGCGATTTTCCCCCTTTGATGTTGAATCCTCTAAGACCAGCTGCCAGCCAAAACTCAAAGGAGATGGCCCAATACTTTGCTCCCTACCAGCGAGTTTTAAATGTTCACTTAGCAATCAAAATCTGGAACAATTAAAAGACTCACATTATGCTCCCAAGTTAAGGGTACCTTCAAATCTTCACAGTAATCTCCAAAGGGCTGTCAAGAACATAGACAGCACAGAAATCAGGAAAAAGGAATCTCCCAGCTGTTGGCAGAGGTAGGGTACGAGCATATTTCAAAGGAATTTTAAAAATTCCTATCTCTTTTCTTCGTTCCTAGGGTTAGCCAACAGAAGTCTCACAAGAAGTGTTGCATCTGTAAAGCAGCCTTTCTGGCAAAAAAATAAAATAAAATATTCAGTAGTCTTTCTAGCTCAACCTTTTCTGCTTTATAGAATATAAAATGGTGCCTAGTCTGATAAAGTGGAATTTTCTCCACGAAAGCTTGTAATTTGTATAATGATTCAATAAAGGTATCATCCTAACCTTGCATCAGTATTGACTGAAATCTAGGCATATCTTCAATTATTAATTTTATTTATTATTTTATCTATTTAGCCAGACTCTATTTTTCTAACCAGACCTTTATCAACAGATCTCAGGGCAAGGAAAAGAAAATAATTTTAAAACAATGTAAAGGGTCCCTGTTTGGGTTATGGCGGCTAACTACGAGATAGACCACATAGCTGCCTTCTTTCTGTGCAAGATTTTAGGCATCCCAAGTACGATTAGACTTGCAAAATTATTAAGCAAAGTTCAGCTTCATTTTCCAACTACCCTTGCCTGGTTATTCACTATTAAATTTTGGTTTCGTTTACACTATCAGAAATCTTCTCAATCCCGTTTGACTGATTTATTAAGTGATCCATTTATCTCCGCATGGTACTCTTTTATTAACTCTAAAATCACTTCCATAGGTATTAACCTGAACTCCCTGACAAATTGGGGAGAAACTCAACTTTACCACATTATCCACCAAAGAATTTGGAATATTGAACTTCAGACTCTGGCAGCTGATTTGAATTTAATTTGTTCTCATTTTTATGGGATGACCCCTTTGTCTGTAACTGGTGCCAGTTATTTCACCAATCTCATTAAGCTACTGTGGCATCAGGCATTTATGCCGGCCAGATTTAATATATTTCCCTCAGCTGTTCTTTCCCGCAGATATCGTAAGATCCCCTTTAAGAACTGCAGTGTAACCACTGCTTAGTGGAACCGGACTCAATTTAATTTATTCTTCTTCACTGCCCTAAATTTAGCGAGCTCCACCAATTACTATTTAGCTCTGTTATTTCAAATTTCTCTGGCTCCCCTGAGAGCTTAATCCGATATTAGCAGATAAACAACCTGATTTGAGTGAGCATGTAACTGAATATCTTGCTATTGTAATAAACTAGACTGACTGCTTCAAAGAGCCTTGACATAACTTGACCATATTTACCTTATTGTATTGGAAAGTATAATCTTCATTGTAGGGTTACTGGTTTTAATACCAATAAAACATCATTGATTGATTTTTTGATTGATTGATTGATGTAAAGCAACATGAATACTTTAAAACAATTTGAAACATTTTAAAATGCCTTAAAAACAATATAGCCAAACAATGGTTAAACAACAAGAACAAATCTAGTAGACTGGAGATGTAACCATTGCCCAAAGTGTGGGTAGGCAGCTGGCTCTCAAGCTGGCACCAAAAGAGGGCATTCCATGACCAACTGAAAAGCAATCTTTTGGGAGTCCATGTGGCAAACTATTCTCAGTTGTGGGACACATAGTATAAATTGTATTACGTACACGGTATTCATCTATGTCTTCTTAGGGGAAGAAAGGTGTATAAATATTTTAAATTAAATAATTAATTAATCAATACGTAGATTTTGGTGCAGTTCTCCAGTGGCGGAAAGGTAGGGAGCTGGCTTCATCGCTTGTATATCTTTAAAATCTTTTTTTTTTCATTGTTTTTTGTCTTTTCCTTTGTCTTCTGCTTTTTGGTTTGCTTGGGAATTTGAATTTCCCGCCATTTCCTGCCTTGGACTGCAATTCCCAGAAGCCTTCACCACCAGCTGTGCTGATTCCCAATCTAGGGTTCCCCAGATGTTCTTGGACTGTAATTCCCAGAAGTCTTCACCAGCAGTTGGCCAGCACAAGAACCAGTCCAAGGACACCTGGGTGACCCAAGATTGATTTATACCCTCAGACCTGGGTTGCTTTATTAACTGTGTGCCTGTGGGCTCATGAAGCTTGTATTTTGAATGACTTACTTTTGAATGTCTCCAGCAAAAATAAAACTGAATGCAAAAGCCCCCGGCCTCCTAAGGAGCCACGGTTCCCTCCCACCCCAGGATGTGTCCTCATTTGGTTGAAATTAGGAGCAGGGAATCTCCACATTCTCCAACATGGGACTACTCTACATTACATTCTCCTGCAGAGCTATGGGCCGCTCGAAATCTCTTCTCATGAGAAGGCAATTTCCCTTTTGCAATGGGAGCTGGGAGGGGAGGATTGCAGGATTAGAGAGAGAGGGGGCGAGAAAGTTGGAGGGGAAGGGGCAGGGAGGGAGGGAGCTGTGACTCATCCAGCAGCATCTTTCACTCATCAGAGACAAATGGACGAGTGCATTTTTCAAGCCCTGCTTATGAGGAAAGACTGAAAGAGGTGGGCATGTTTAGCATTGAGAAAAGAAGACTGAGAGGTGATACAATAGCATTTTTCAAATATTTGAAAGGTTGTCATACAGAGATCTGTTCTCAATCATCCCAGAGTGCAGGATATGCAACAATGGGCTCAAATTACAGGAAACCAGATTTATATTGAATATCAGGAAAAAAAACTTCATAACTTTTAGAGCAGTATGGCAATGGAATCAATTAACTCCAAAGGTGGTGAGTGCTCTAACACTGGAGGCATTTAAGTGAAATTTAGACAACCACCGGGCAGATATCCTTTGATTTATATTCCTGCCTTGACCAGGACGTTGGACTCAAAGGCCTTATAGACACCTTCCAACTTCACAGAATTGATAATCATAGAATTCTATGATTCTATGATTAAAATTTTTTGTGTGATAGGCTTTTGCAGTTCATACTCCATACCATTTGATGAACAAAGCATTGTTGTGACTTAACAGGTATATGATGTCTAGTTGGAATAAAAAGAGGATTATAAACAGAAAGTTCAGATGAAAACAAAATGCAGAAATCATATATGATGACAACAAAGGTTATTAACAGTTGTCATTCATAAAACTATTGCTGATAATAATATACATCTTAGATTTACTAATCTAATTAACATGTGCAGCATTATTTAATGTGCATAAATAAATAAACTCTAGCTAGATTGATGCCACAGGTGACATCACATTACATCCAATACATTATAATTCATTGCACTTTCCCTTTGAAGATTGTCTGGTCATTGAAAAATAGATACTTCAAGGACAGAGTGTATTGAATTAAGCTACATGCCTGGCGGATCTCTGCCATGACCATTTTTGGTCTCTCATTCATAATTTTTTTTCCTAACCTATGCCTGAGGAAGTGCATTTTATTCATGAAAGCTCATGTTGAATGTCTGATTTTCAGTGGTCTAAATAAAAATTTTCTACATTTGGATTTTGTAAAGACCACACAGCTATCTCTGTTGTGTGGGTTGTTGTTTTTCCCCAAACTTTTGAAGTGACCTAGAAAAAGCTAACCCAGCAACACTGAAAATACTATATGGACTTTAGATATCATCAGGCTGGACTGCAACCAAGAATAATATCTACTTGCAGATGTTACCAAGCAGCATAATAATCTGGAATCAATTTAGCTCTGATTATTTACTGCCTACCTAACGAAAAATTATCCCAGCTTTAGGATGAGGATGGCTTAGTCTCTGTGTGACTTTCCTCCCCCCTCCCCTGCCAATAAGGAAACTTGATTTCCAAACAAACAATATTAGTGGAGGGGTGGAGTAATCCCACTCATTCAAGGAGGCCGAGTGAAAAATTACAACCAAATGGCACCGGGGGGTGCCACTCCCAAATTGGTTGAAACCAGCTCTCAGCTGAAGTTAATATTCCTCCACTCTTTTCTGAGTATTGACATTTTTAATTGCAGCTTTGTGTCTATTTCATCTTTTCTGAAGAGTCTGTCCTCCTCGTCTTATAAAGAATGCGGAAGGGTACTGATGTCAGACGTTGGCATGTATCATACTGGAGATATGCGCGGACCCACAACCTCCTGATGATGGGGATGACATAATTAGGTAGACATGGTAACGGAGCTGCCACAAGGATGGTCCTTATGTCCATAAATGTATTATGTGGCCTTTTGCTGTTGGTAAGCATCTGTTTTAGGTAGGGGAGGGTTATGAACAAACAAGCACAGGCCTATCACCCAAGTACAAGAGGGAAGTGCCATTTACCAAAATACTGTAGCTTGTAGATTTTTAGAAACATGTATGTTTGAATGGTTTCAGCCAGGAGCAAGTGGAGTTTTGCTTTCTCCAACAGGGGTTTGCTGTTGTTGTTTTATATTATTCTTGACTGTCCTTTGGTTCTGTTCAACTGTTTTCACTTTTTGTTAA